GACCAAAGGGCCAGTCCTGTGACTATTGCAGCTCTGGAATATGCGACCAACTTTCCCACCAACATCAGCAAGCCACCCTAGGGCAGATTTCCGTCCCTCCCACAATTGGTCTTACTTTCCAGTTCCAGCTTGTGTGGTCTACTTAAGGTTTGTGATCGGCTGAAGGGTGGGAGTCAGCAGGCGGTTTTGGGGAGACATTTCTCTGCGGACCACCAAAATTTTCTCACGGACCACCAGTAGTCCCCAGCACATTGGTTGGCGACCACTGTTCTAGTGCAACTCCCTGTTCAGACAGGAAATCCTATAACATTTCAGATAAATAACTGTCCAGTTTCTTCATATACACCTCCATTATTGGAGCATCCACAATTTCTGGAGGAAAGTCATTCCACTGATTAATTGCTTGTAGGTTGGTTCTTGCCTTGAATAGTTTCCATTGATTGCTTCTTGGAACACTGCTATTAAGCCACACTCTAGTCCTTTTCATGAAACTAGACATCCCCAATTCCAGCAACCGTTCTTTATATGTTTTAGCCTCCAGTCCACTAATAATAGTTGTTGCTCTTCTCTACACTCTTACTAGAGTCTCAAGATCTTTTTTACATCTGGCAACCAAAACTGGATACAATATTCCAAGTGTGGTCTTACAAAGGCATTATAAAGTGATACTAACACTTCATGTCATCTTGATTCTATTCCTCTTAATGCAGCCTATGATTCTGTTGGGGTTTTTTTGTGTGCAACTGTAGCATAGTGCTGACTCATGTTTATGTGGTTGTCCACTAGCACTCCAAGATCCCTGTTGCACTTACTACTGTTGAGCTACATATCATCTATTCTATGCCAGTGCATTTGGTTTTTCTTTCCTAAGTATAAAATCTTACATTTCTCACTGTTGATTTCCTTTTGTTAGGTGGGGCCCAATCTGTCGATCTTTCTGTATCTCTGAGTTTATCTTCTGGAGTGTTGGTATTCCTGTCAATCTGGTCTTGTCTGCAAATTTAATGAGCTCCCCTTCTATCCTCTTGTCTAAATCAATGATGAACAGATCTTGCAAATCCTCCCGTTCTGCTCTTTGTTCCATGTTCAGGAGAGTGTTGTGTCCTTCGAGGAGGTGGCTGTGTATTTCTCTGAGGAGGAATGGTCTCAGCTGGATCCTGACCAGAAAGCGCTGCATTCGGAAGTCATGCTTGAAAACCGTAGGAACGTGGTCTCTCTGGGTAAGAGTTTTCTAGATATCGTCTCCTGGGAGGGAGAAGGAAAGGATCTGGCCTTGTGGTTCTCCAAGGAAGGAAAGAGTCCATATCTCTTTGCTTAGATGCTTTCTGTGCCATCTCTTACCCGTATGTTTCCATTTCTATTTGAAAATATCTGTGGAAGCTGAAAAGAATGAGATGTGCTTTTATGTGTCCTCTGGAGCAGGGGTCGCCAACCTTTTCAGGACCACCAAACTCATAATTTTAAATCCTGCAAACCAGTGACCCTGGGAAAATCCCCCAAAAGTCTGTAAGAAAATTCCACAACCCGTTTTCCTACTGATAGATCATTCTTTATTTGGGATCACAGGTCTCCAGCTCCGTTCTCGGGGAGAGAGGGAGAGAGAGAGAGAGAGAGAGAGAGAGAGAGACCCTTTTGGCTTCATGCAAGGAAAGCAGCAGAAGTCTTTCTTTCTCTCCCCCAAACTCTGCCAGAAATGAGTCTGCCAGCGCAGCCTCTTGGAGCAGGATGCCTTGCAGGGTCCCAAAGACTCATTTCTGGTGGAGTTTGGGGGAGAGAAAGAAAGACTTTGGCTGCTTTCCTTGCGTGCAGCCAAAAGCAGCAGAAGAAAGAAGCACAAAGAAGCAGCCCGATGGCCAGGCAAGGCACGTGGGGTGCGTTGGGCAAGTTCCCCCCCTCCCCTCACTACCTTGTGTTGTTCACAATGCAAGCAATGCAAGCCTTGTGTTCCCGCGGGCCATGTGGGTGGCACAGCCTTGTGTTCCTGCGCAGCCTGGATTAATTGCTTTGGGGGTGACATATCTCTGCGGACCACCAAAATTTTCTCGTGGACCACCAATGGTCCCCAGCCCAGTGGTTAGCAACCACTGCTCCAAGCACCTGAGGGCAGGGCAAGAAGCAATGGGTAGAAACTAATCAAAGAGAGAAGTAACTTAGAAGTAAGGAGAAATTTCCTTACTTTACAATTTACAATTAATCAGTGGAACAACTTGCCTCCAGAAGTTGTGAATTCTACAGCACTGGAAGTTTTTAAGAAGATGTTGGATAACCATTTGTCTGAAGTGGTGTAGGGTTTCTTGCTTAAGCAGGGGATTAGACTAGAAGATCTCCAAGGTACCTTCCACCTCTCTTATTCTATTCTATTCCTTAATTCAAAGCTGATTCTAAGTGAGATTTGGATAGATAGATAGATAGATAGATAGATAGATAGATAGATAGATAGATAGATAGATAGATATAGATAATTGTAAAGAAAGAGATGTTTCTCTTTGAAAGAAACTTTGAGAGAAAGTTTCTTTGAAAGAATTCTTTGAGAGAAACTTTCAAAGCTTTCATGACTCGTGAATATAGAAACCATCATGTCTATATCACACCACCGTAAGCATGCAGTTTCATCTTTTCCTCTTAACCTTGTTATCATTTTCATTTCCCTTTTGCTTTGAAGGTAATAATGGGCAGGAGAATCAAGATTCCTGTGAACTGTTCCAAGTGATCAATGCTAAAGATGGAATGGAGAAGTTTGGAATTCGAATGGAATTTGAAAGCCATGAGAGAAACCAGTCAAAGAATTGGAATCAGGAAAGCTCATCTTCCACTGATGCTCTGATGCAACACTTTCTTGCCCAAGAAGAGAATATAAGGCAAAAATATACTGGAAAAAGTGTGAAGCTAATCAAACCAAAAGTACAAGTAAATGAACACTATTTAACCCAAAACAAAGGAGAAGATGCTATAAGAAAACAAAATGGACAAAATTACAATGGGACATTTATTCTTTCTCTTGGAAATAACTTCCTTACAGCTCAAAAAGAGATTGACACAAAAGAGAAGCCTTATAAATGTTTGCAGTGTGAAAAATATTTTAGAACAAGCAGGCAACTTACTATCCATACAAGGATCCACACAGGGGATAAACCATATAAATGCATAGTGTGTGAAAAGACTTTTGCTCAAAGAGGTAATCTTATTTCCCATAAGATGATCCACACAGGGGATAAACCATATAAATGCACAGAGTGTGAAAAGACCTTTGCTCAAAGAGGTAATCTTATTTCCCATAAGATGATCCACATTGGGGAGAAACCGTATAAATGCTTTGAGTGTGGAAAGACCTTTGCTCATAGCAGTACACTTACTTCCCATGAAAGGATCCACACAGGGGAAAAGCTGTACAAATGCTTGGTGTGTGGAAAGACGTTTGCTCATAACAGTGAAATAAAAATACACAAAAGGATCCACACCGGGGAGAAGCCTTTTAACTGCATGGAATGTGGAAAGACCTTTGCTCAAAAATGTAATCTTATTTCCCATAAGATAATCCACACAGGAGAGAAGCCGTATAAATGCATGGAGTGTGGAAAGACCTTTGCTTATAGTAGTGGCCTTAGTGGCCACAAAAAGATCCACTCAGGAGAGAAACCATATAAATGCATGG